ACTCATGAGAGCTGTATCCTTGCAGCTTTCTTCACCATCTATATCAGCCAGCGGGGCAGTCCCCAGAAATTGTTTTACTGCTTTTATAATCTTGAAGAGGGACCTTGTGAACCTTGTTAAGTTCCAAGAACTTTCTAACCGTTGTAACTTTTGTTTTTTGAGTCTTATGAGCCCTCCTCTCCCTCAACAAGAGAACATTTTAATCATGATGATATAGTTATATGTCATTCATAGTGAAAACACAAAAGGAATCATAGTGGCAATTCACACTTAGAAACTGGAGCACACCCAGGCAAAGGGGGCAAATACTACAATCAACTGAAAAGAAAAAGTAGATCACCTGTTGAAAAGAGTAATGCTGGAGGAGTTTGCAGCAGCACTAATAAAGTCAGGGAGCAGAATAGTGTTGATTGCTCCAGCCATGGAGACACAATGCCAAGTAAAGTGACAGTCCCTTAGTTAGCACAATAGAAGCCAACGTCAGGCAAGTATTAAGAATCTTTGTGATTTATGACTTCTGAAAAACCCGCTAAAGGATAAACTAAAGATTAAAACTATTTGAGAGGTCCATTTCACCCCAGTCAGAATGGAATCATCAGTGGACCAAATACCAACAAGTAGCAGCACAGAAGTGAGGAAAGAGGAACTCTTTTTCACTGTTGGTGGGAGTATCACTATGTGTCAGTATAAAATTCAGTGTGGAGGTTTCTCACAGAGGTAGAAATGGAACTACTGCATGCCCAAGCTACACCTCTCTTGGGCATATACCCAAACGACTCAGTAGCCTCCATGTTCATCACTGAATAATATCTAGAAAATAAAAGTCTAGATTTCCATAAGCCAATAAATTGATAATTAAAATGTGTTACATATCCACAGTGGAATTTTTATCAAGCTGTGCAGAAACACAGAAATATGGATTTTGCAGGTAAATGGATGGACCTAGAAAAAAATATGCTGAGGTAACCCAGGTATAGAAAGACAAACATCACATGTCCTTTCTCAGATCTGCACCCTTGTTTCAGTCTTCATATTTGTGTATTTAGCCTGGAGTACCTGTAGAAGCCAAGAAACCAGAAAAGGTCCACTGGGATAGAGAATGCCATCATGGAAGTATGTTGTTGATTATTAATATTTAATGTTGATTTCTCTTTTAGTTAAACAGTGGTTATTCATAAACCAGCTATATACCCAAATCACCACATAGAGAGTAGGATGTATTTAGCTAACCTAGAGCACAATGCTGGGCAATGATTTCTCCATCCTAATCCTTCAAGCCTGCATAGTTTCCTACCATTCAGATTTACCACATTATACTTGCTTTTAGTCATATCTAAGGTCCTGTTAGTCTCTCTTAGTGGTTCCAAGTCCTCTCCTGCCCATCTTTCCTCCCAGATTCCTTCCCACCTTCTTCTTCCTCCTCCTCTCCGGACCACGATGTCCCACCCTATTCTCTTATCGCTCAGCATTGGCTGGTTGTTTTATTGAAAATACAGAGAACAAATGGTGGCATGTTTACACAAACTTGAGGTAGAATAAGCATCACAAGGCAATGTCGGGATTGAAATCAGATAGTAGGGGAGAGAAATCAGTATTTGAATGAACAAAGTAAATTGTATACATTCCACAAGAACTTTATACCAACAGAGGTCTATAGTAGAATGCATGTGATATGAAACTAGAGAGGGGAATACTGCAACAGAAGGGTTTAAATTGGAATGGGAGGTAACCATAGAGGTAGGGTTGGCTGAAATGAAGGGTGTATGAAATAGACAAAAGGAAACCTATTCGCAATCCAATTAAAAAGTGTAGGTGCAGAGAAACGTGCTAGAAGGTGAAATCATGGATATCTGGCAATGCTGCCCCAGTACTAGGTGTTGGATATCCTCAGCAACTATTGATCAACAGTTGATCAGGGAGGCCTTCAGGCCCACAAAACAGTACTCTTGTCACTTGTCTTGCTTATTTGCCAGAAATAATTTGTAAAACCATTTTGCTGACGATGCAGCACACCCCGGATGACTTGAACAGAAAGCTTCCTCCCTGCTGGTCAGCCTTCGTAGTACCAGACCGTGCTCTACAGGCTGCCGGTGGAGAAAAGACACTAACGGACTTCACTAGAAGCCAACCTTCTAATCTACAGCACCAACCTGCCAGACAAGATGTACTCACATGCAACAGTGGCATGCCTGTTAGGAGGGTAAGTAACTGTCTCTGACTGGGTTAGAGGCTCATTCCACAGGAGAGAGTTCACTGTAAACCCAACAAAAATCCTATGGCTGAAAAGAGAAAACTTACTACTGTTGTTTAGCTAAATCGACATGGCATCAAACTACCCTCTAAATATTTAATTTTATACACAAAGGCAAATGCTGCCCTTAGCCTCTGTCAAGAGGAATTTTTCTTTGCTTTGTAAGGCAGTGTGCCTACAGAGGAGAGCTAGTCTCTCTCCAGAATGAACCCCCAACTGGTTGTTCACTGCAACGTAGTCAGCTTGAAGCCATTCGTACACAAAAAACAAAAATAAACTCTCTAGGTTGCATTTATATATTTGTAAAAGTGTGTGTGTGTGTATAAGTAACAAAAATAATCATGGAAGAAATGACTATCAATTTGAGAATGAGGGGCATGGAAGGAGTTGGAGGAAAGAGCTGGATGGAGGAAAGGGAAGTATATTTTTAATTAATAATGTATAAAAAATAAAAGGTACATGTGGATCATATTCTATGTTTTAAGACTTTGGCCACATCTGCAACATTTTACTTTCTTTCAGCAAAAAAACAGAAACAAAAACAAAAAACATTTGAAGCAAATATGGCAAATTTATAAGTTTTGCCCTTACGGGGTAGGTTTTTGAATTTGTTTCCTTGTGCTTAATGTCTTTCCTAATTAAAAAGCAATATTCACTGATGCAATTGACATTTTAACCTAGTGATTTGTGCTGTGTTTTCTGATACTCTTGTTGCAGTGCCTGGAAGAATTAAAAAAAAAATCTATTTTTTAATGAATGAAATAGATGAGACTCAGGGGAGCCACCTTAAGGTTCTCTTTCTTTTATTTTCAACTAAGTTCTGTACCTAATCCCCACCTATCCTGCCTATTCTGAAGAGACTACTGATACACATTGAACTCCTGTACAAAATAAGAATGGATCTGGGGTGGGGGGGGGCGAAGAGAAAAGAATGGACCATTTTTTTCTTTTCCAGGTTTCTAAACTCAGATTTATGACAGCGCCAAGGGGAACCACAGAAGGATTAATTTATCTCTCTCTAGCTTCTGCTTGACCCAGCCAAGCTCATCATTCACACATTAGAGAGATAAAAGCCTTTGAAAGGTACAGTTTTCAGGAATAAAGTATCCTTTACTTTGAGACGTGGTTCCTGTTGGATTTGAGGGTGAATCTGAAATAAAAGTGTGCTGGGAGAATAAACACGATGACCTGATGACCTGTGACCTGTTCCCCAGCATCCTCTAGAACACTATCAATTTTATTTTTAACAACAAAAAAGAAAACAATATTCTCTTTACGTGTTTTGCATAAGCAGCAAGAAAAAAAAGAAGAGCTCCTTTTATCAATGACAATTTCAACAAGAAGAGGTAGAACCCACAACTCATACACTCTGTTGTACTATCTGACCAGTGGTGTCCATGACATTGTAAGTTAAAGGTAACGTGTGCATGTTGGAGAGATACGTTCTTTGTCTATGCTTCCAGAGTTTTAGCCTAACTAATTCTATATGAACTTGACCTTTTCCCCACTAGATTCTGTAACGCCAGCACGCACGTTCACAAATATCAACCAGGGAACAAACTGCCAGGTAACACTAAACTGCCCCAAAATGATCACCAGGTAAAACACACAGATCAGAATGGCTTTAAACTTAAAAAGCCACTATGATTCATAGGCTGCACATAAAAAGTTACAGCTAGGTGTGGTCATACTTGCCCATAATAGTACTCACGAGGCTAAAGCAGGAGGATTGCCGTGAGGTCAAGCAGTCTACACTAAGAAGGGAGATTCTGTGTCCAAAGCAAAAGAAAAGCAAGAAAACTATTGCTGCTCACAGTTACTGAAAGTCTGATGTTGTTACCGTAGGTCATAGTTTAGCCTAAAAGCTCGTTTTCACACATAATAAATGTATCAACATAATAATCCCTAGTCAGACCCCAAAATGTACAATATAGAAGATGCTACAGCTAGCCCTTGAAATGAGGCAACTATTCACACAGTTATCGAGACTAGATGGATACCCAGGCACTTTTCCAGCTCTTTCCAGTTCATATTTTAAGCCTTATATTTATGATAAAATAATCCCTCATATGACTTATCTCAAGAATACCAAAGCAATGATATAGAAGGAAAATCTACATTTTACTCTCGGATAAGTTTGGAAATACTCTTTCAGCCATATGACCCCCAATTTTCTCAAATGTCGACATTTTCGTCTTCTCCATAGCAAATACTCCATAGAGAGAAGGGCCGTGGGGTAGGATGTTGGAAGCTAGCAGAACAGATGCAGGAGAAAAGTGGAGCAATTCAGAAATGCATGACAAGAAATATATCATCCAAACTTTCCTAACACCACAGGGAAAAATGCATAGTGGAAATGGCCAATTCTGTTCTATCTATCCATAAACTCCAGAGGCAAAAGACCACCAACTAGCAACATTGGTACACTGCCGTATTGAACTTCTGGAAAAGGATATTGATTTTTAAAGAAGAACTTAATTAAAGTGCTGCATTCACTTTTATAGCTAATATATTCACAGAAACATTGAAAACAAAAGAAACAGAATAAAAACGTACTCTGTTCCAAAGACACAGTCTCAAAACCTTATTACTTCTGGTTTCTTATTCACTAAATGATCTTTTAAAATTATCTAAGTCCCCTTGTGCCATCAAAATTTGACCCAATCATTAGTAACTTCATAAAAGAATACATGTTCCCAGCATGACATCTGTTATTACAACTTGTTCATAGCTTTAAAAATATACTTACCTCAACAAATATAAAACACGGAATGATGGAGTAACTGCGTTGAGTGTTGTTTCCTACAGCCATGTCTCAAACCATGTGGTGACACTACTCCGTCTGCGACTGTCCAGGCTGAAACGGAAATAGATTGCAAGGTGTAAGAACTCTGTGTCGAGAAGTCCCGTGAGCAGGTATACAAAAACGCCAGCTACTTTCTAGATGTGCAGGCTCAGTGCAAACAAGGCAAAAACGTTGATCTACAACGTACGTGAGCTAGAACCAAATACATGCCCAGCTGTGGATAGATAGTCTTAGAGGAAAACTGACCGCGCACAGAACTTCTCAGGCAAACAGCTGCAGCAAACAGGGTTCTCACTGGGGGCACTGCACTGTCTTTCTTAACCCAGTAGACTGCTGTCTTGCCACAAAACACGGCTTCTGGCATCAAACTTTTCTTGTTTGTCATCCTGCCAGGAGTTCTCCTACCTGTATCTAATTCTGGTTTACAACCTCGTTTGGTCTGTTTATTGCCTCTGCCCTTTCCTCTACAGACAATAATCTTTCCGTTCTTTCCTGAGTTGTAATTATTTGCTCTTGCTCTGGACTACACAGTCTTCAGCGCTTCGGGTTAATACAGCACTGACTTATCTTTCCAGGTGCCCCCTGACCTGTGTATACGACCCCAACATGAAACATTAAAGCAATAATCCATTCTCTATACTTACAAGAATGGAGGAACCAGGCAGTAGCAGATCACTCTTAAATATTTTATTAGGTCATCTCTGTCCTGCTCTGAACTGAAAATTTTCTTCTATTAGGAAATAGAAGATTTTTAGATTGAGATTTTGGACTTTTATGAGACTTTCCAGATTAAAAAGAAGCACTCCACGATATGTTTTATTCTCTTTCCCAAACAATGCTGCACGTAGGTCACGAATGCTCTAAGCCAGCTACTTGTTGCTCTTCACTTACTCTGTTTCTAGGTCATTAAGACTGTCAGTTCTTGGAAATTTTGATATGAAAGTTATATGAGAACTGCAGAACTGCTTGAATAGCCAACTGCATCTACTACTGTCTTCATTTAGCTAATTTCTCTTTTTTAAGTTGTTTTTAAGGTATACCTTACCTGTTTGCAAAGTAAAGCTTTAAAATAGATTCTGTCCTCATTTTAAGATGCCATATTCTCAATTGTTAATTAAAATTTTCTTTGATCAAACATAATTTATATTCTTTGGAATCTTTATTCATCAACATATACAATTTAAAATCTCTGGCACCTTTTAAAAATTTAAATGAACATTATTTGCTTTGAAATAATGTCCATAATATAGCTATTACTTTTTCATTCAACACTGGAATTTAGGAATAACTAATACTGTCTTTATTAAGAAAAGAACACACATCTATCTTTTACACATTGAATTAATAGTAACATCTTGTTTTGTTCAATTTTACTTTCTTTAAATATCTTAAAATTCACTCATAATTCTTTATAATGCAGATGTGATCTTCTGATAGCATTGGCTAACTGTAATGGCATAAATATAAAACATTTAAAAACTGATCACATTCAAGTAATAAAGATTACCAGGGGAAGCAAAGGTATGAGATACATAGTATTTTAAGTAATTTTTACATAGAATTAATAAATAGCAACAAAATGAAAAAAGAGACACTATTCTTTTTTATTCTTTTTTTAAGACACTGTCTTATAATTGTAATTATGCCCTTCCAAATTTGTACCATGAATAGATCAATATTCTCATTTCTACACATCCTCAATATAGCATTTTTCTGGTCAACCTTTTTAATTATAGTGATTCTAGTATGAAAAAATATCTCACTGTGGTTTTAAACTTTTACTTTACTGATAATAGATAGCTCTGATCATCTTTCTATGTGTATACTACAACTCCTTTTGTAAAATGTCTGTTCAAATCTTGCAACCTTTGTGGTTGGCTTGTTCACTGTATTATTTTCAGGGCATAATTCTCTTTGTATATTTTGGACATTTGTCATTTATTAAATATATGTTTCATAACTATTTTCTTTCCAACTCTTGCTTGATTTTCAGCTCCTAAAGATACATTTTATATGCACGTTTTGCTAATATAACAATTTTAATTAGAGAACTTAATTTCAAAGACCATTAAATACAGAAATTTATTACCTTATTATACTCATCCAGATTTTCAACTGCAATTTTAAAATGTGGAAGATATAAATCAATGCTGAGATAAAATAAGTGTAAAAATTTTTTAGAAAAGACTAGCAACTTAGATGAAGTATAGTAAATAAATAAGCTGTAGAAGGAATTCATATCACCAATGAAATGAAAATATCTACAAACTTACTAATTCAGGTTATGAAAATGAAGGCAAATAACATGGAAATACTTCATATCTCTAAGAGCAGAATAAAGGGGCAAGTTTGTGCCTAACGGAGCAGGGGATGCTGTTCTCACAGCTGGTAGGAATAGCCTTTGAAGAGTGAATCAATGAATGGCATTAAAGTAAAATATGCTCCATACTTCTCCACAAAACACAACCCTCAGAAAAGTCTCCCATCACAAACCATGTTGCATTTCTGTTACACTAGCAATGAGAGATATGAAAAACAAGTGAGAAAACAGTTCTATTCATAATAACATCCTTACACTTAGGAATAAGTGAAATAACTCCATGCTAAAAATGACAAAACACTCATGAAGGAAACTGAAGAAGATACCCACAAAGGGAAATGTTAATGGATGCAAAGAATAAATATATTTAAAATGTCCAGAGTAGCTGGATGTGGTGGTACTCACCTTTAACCCCAGCAGAGGCACGTGGGTCTCTGAGAGTTTGAAGCTAGCCCGGTCTACAAGCTAGTTCCAGGATAGCCATGGCTATTATACAGAGATACTCTGCCTCAAAAACAAAGTCCAGGCTACCGAAAATAGTCCAATTCCTATCAAAATTTCAAAGGCACCTTCCATTTTCTATTTAAAAATGCAATTCTAAATAATACATCATGTTGGCATTCCCAAAAGTCTGGGTTCTTATAAGGTTCAGGTTTTTATTGAGTCCTGTGTCTTATCATATATTTTCTGATACTCCAGTAGGTGGAGGATGCCAGCAATACTGTCTTATGAATGGGAAGTGCAGGTTCTCTGGGGACAATATAAAGTCCGGGCTTCCCAGCAGATTCCCCACCCACTGAAACTAGACTTCACTGAAACTGGACGCTTTCCAATTAGGCATCATCTGAGAGTCTCTGAGAAGCAAGAGGAAAATATTTTTGTATATAATATGTTCACGTTTATACCAAATCAATTATAAAATATAATTTTTTTTTCTTTTCATGAAGAAAGTAGCTTAAAGATGCAAAATGGCTTTGGGCTCTTATGATAATAAGGCAGCCCTAGTTGGAATAAATGTGGAGAAAGATGTGTTAAATGAGATGGTTGTTCTGATTGGTGAAAAAGAAAGTAGGCATTCTCCTGTCAGGCAACAGAGGGAAGAATTCCAGCAAAGCTTTTCGAGCTACCAATGCTTAAGAAGGACACTGGGCCCAATACAGGAAATTCAAGAAGGAGACATGGATGCTGTCACTAGACATGTACTTGCTGTTCATTATACATAAAGTCTCCACGCTAGAATACCTCAAGGCCACAACCTCAGGATTGGGTATTTACATATCAAATGGAAACACAGTAGGAAAGGAGGAGAATTAATGTCGACCGGCAGCACCCTATCTTGTTAATTAGCTCAGATGAAGCATTTCATCTCTAGGTAAGTTTTACTATATTATGAATCATACCCCAGTAGAATCTCAATTCAGTGTCCTCTGATGTGTTTCCACTGAAATTTTCATGTCATTTCCTCTTGTTCACGAGAAGTATTCCAATTTGTTTTAAACTCAAGACAAATTAAAAACAACTACACAAGATCAAATACCCACTTAGTGATACTAAAAATGAATGAGGGCATTCTTGGGAAGAACAAGCTGTTATTACCCTCATTTACAAGCTGTTTGAAATGAAACTAGCTGACCAGTCTGGGAAAGCTTTTGGGAACAAATATGGCCTTGGAAGTGAGGGTCCACAACTTAGCAACTTTTGTGTCTAACTTTGATGTGAGTTAAATTGTTCTTAGACAGAATGTACATTAAACTGATTTTGCCAAGATGGCCCTGGTGCTAACAAGAAAGCTACCAAAAGTCTTAACTTTCTGTGTAAGCCCAACAGCCTCTACTTTGAAACCACATTTATTTAGAAAAGTTTCTCAGACTTATCACTGTTGACTCTTTAGTCTAGGGAGTTCTCGTGGTTATCCTGAGCATTTCTGGGTGCTTAGCCCTATGGACAGCCTCTGCATACAAGATGCCAAACAAGGCAGGCATTCTCTCACCAAAGGGTGATGACCAAAACTAACCCCAAATGTTCCCTTCAAGTGGGGACATTGTTTTCAATGTATAGCTGCTTACAGTATCCATGGGGGATTTTGCATTCATCAATGTCAAAGAATCTGGAATATGATTTCTTGCTTGAAACAATAAAAGAATAAAAATACAGGCAGTCCTTTCCCTGAGATTTTTCTTTCCTTTCCATAGAAGTTGCACTTTTACACTTTCCTGGTTCTATAGGAACTACAAGTTAAGCACATATATCTAAAGATAGTGCTAAGATCCACGTGAATGAGAACACGTGCCATTTGTCTTTCTTGGTCTGAGTTAACCTCATCCAGTATAATATTTTCCAGATCCAATCATTTATCTGCACCTTTCATAATTCCATTTGCTCTACTGCTGAGCCAGATTCCATCGTATAAAGGTACCACATTTTCATTATCTATCAGTTGAGCAACATTTAGGCTAAATGAAATTCTCAAATACTTAATAAAAATATTTTTAAAAAAACAGGATAAATGGGGTGATGGCTTTGAAGACAACAATTAGACAGCAGACCAAGTCTAGCAGTGATCACAGAAGATGGAGCAGAGATGATCACAGAGGTGAGTCTGGCTTAGTTCCTGGGAAGAGTTATGACACCCTGTGTGGAGAGGAGAATGCAGACACGTAGTTGGCATTCTTCCAGGTCCGGGCGGGGCTAGCTTGTGGGTAGGCTGAAATAACCGAGGTTCTACAAGCTG